TGACCTGCCCTTCACCCTTTCGAACGTTACCGTTTGCGGAGGAGCTATGTCGACCAGCTCGTCCAACTTCCTCTTAGCTGAGTTGATGGTGAGGTCGTTGAACCCGCCCCCGTTGATGACCATGGCGGAGGGGAAGTATTCCCACCTGCTGTGTGTTGTCAGGGGCTTCTGCAGGAGCTCGGGAACGTCGAAATCCTCGGGCCTGGTTACCGAGAAGGCGGTCTGGATAGGCACCGACTCGTCCGATGGTCGGGCGTCTTCTTCGGGCTCCTTGGTTTCATGGGCGTCACGACGGGGAGCGTCGTTTCGCCTGTACTGTGCGAGCCTCCCTCCCTTGATGAGGGTTTCAATGGCGTCCTTGAGGTGGACGCAGTCTTCTGTCAAATGACCATGACTCCTATGGTATTGACAGTATTTATTTTTATCTGCCCCTGGCTTGGCGGGAGCAGGTTGGGGACGCTTGACGCCACCGTCTCTGAAATCTGTACTGGCACACTCCGCCAAAATACGCTCGCGGGAAGCCGTGAGCAGAGTGTACTCGGTGAAACGGCCCGAGGGGCCCTTTATTCCCGGACTTCCCGGGGCCGATCTTCCTTCCTTTTTTCCCCGGTACGTCAGGGAGGAGGCTCTTGTCGTGAGCTGCTGCTGTTGTTGGGAGCGCGAGCCCTGGAGTCTCGGGCCCTGTTGGCAGCTTCTCTCTCCTCGTAGTCCATGTATGCTCGGGCCTTGTCGAGGAGGGCATCAAAAGTTGGAGGTGGCTCAATACCCACAGCCTTTCTGAATTCTGTGTCGGGGAGGAGACCCCTCTCCAGCAAGTATCTTTTCATATGGTCCGCGCAGGGGACCTGTATTGCTTCCCGGTTGAAGCGGTTGATGAATTCCCTCAAGGTTTCATCCTGTCTTTGGATGATGGCCTCGAGGGCTGCCTCGGTCTTCGGATGGCGCCGAGAAGCTGTGAAGGAACTGATGAATTGGTTCTTCAGGTTCCGCCACGACGTAATTGAGCCCGGGGCGAGCCCTTTATCCCAGTCCATGGCCGCCTTCCTGAGAGTCGTGGGGAAAAGACGGCACTTGATGGGCCCCCCGATATTATGATAGTGGAGCATGGCTTCGAACCCGTCAATATGGTCGACCGGGTCCGCTACTCCGTCATACTCCTTCAGATGCGGGGGCTTCTCCATGCCCGGGGGGATAGGTGCATCCATGATGGCCTGCGACAGGGGACCGCGGGGGTCGTCCTCGTCGCTCCTCTCCGGAGAAAGAGAAGGGGTCCTGTAGTTATGTCTGGCACGATAATCGTGCTGAGTTTCCCTCGAGCGTGATGCTCGATGGTTGAAGGTCACACGCCCGTCCCCGGCGTGCCTCTTGTCGTGCCTTGACGGGTCGCGAATGGGTTCTCCGGCAGGGATGGCGGGCTGTCTCTCATGGTAGGGCCGCCTCTGCTTTGGCCGGGGAGAAGGGCTCCTGGAGTTCTCCCTGTAGTGTCTTCGCGGGGGAGAAGGGTGTCGGACTTCCGTGATCCGAGGAGGTGGAGAATGTGGCCTCCGATGCCTCCTCGGGGGTCGTCGATCACCTTCAAGTGCCCTTAATCTTTCTCCTTGGGCGAATATGAGATAATTTGTCTGATTAATGGCCGCGAACAGTGCCTGAGTCGTGGCATCTGCCCCGGCGGGAACTGGGACTTCATAGAACCGGGCAGCTCTGTGATGAGCGAGAGCTACCGGGTCGTCTTCGAGTGCTGGAGGGGTCGTAGAGGATGATGCAGTAGCCCCGTCCCTGTAGGAGGAAGGTCCAGGGGCGGTTGTCACAGGGATGGCACTGTGGCCAGGATCACCGGGGTTATCGAGGTGTCCATTCTTGTCCGCGGTACCGTTATTAGTGTCGGCGACACGGACGGGCTGCTCGTCGCGAGCTGGATCAGCCATGACAGGTAGTTGAATTGAGCTTTGGTCTTTAGAATTGTTCGTTAGACGGGGAAGCTAGTTCCCACAGACGGCGCCACTGATCTGACCTGATCAGAAATGGACCGTCACGGCTGGCTCCGAGCAGAAAGCTTTTTTTGAACGAGGTGGGGGGGGTACCTGCAAGGCACTCCAATGCTGAAGTAAGTAGGAGTACGAGCAGATAATAGCAAGTGTAAGGTTAGAATGATGAATACCTGACCCTCTGGAAGCAGAGGGTATTTATAGCCCCCAGCGCTGGGCCAAGGTTCCTTCATTGGGCCGGGCAGGTTTGGCCCAATGGAGGAACTGCCAGGTTCTACGTGCGTAGTGGGGACCCGCACGTGGTCCCCTTCCTGGATGTTCTGCGTGAAGTGCGGGCGGACGGAGACGCGGTCTTTTCGGAGTATCGTTGGGGGAACAGTGGACTGAGTTTGCCCTAGCTGGGTGCTCGAGGTAACGTCGAGCTGGGCCTCAGACTGTGGTGCTGGACCACCTCATGTCGAGCTGGAGACGTATCGTCGAGCCAGCGACTGCGCGTCGGACACAGTCTTACTCTTTGGTCGGCGTGGCCCTTGTAAGTCCATTTGGACTGGGCCTGTGCAATGCTTTTGGGCCTGTCGGGCCCAGTCCATAACAGTATATTTCACCATTTAATAGTTATTATATTGACAGTAAAAAGTACAAGAATAATTACGAAGGTGTAGAATTGTAACTTAATTAAATAGAAATAAATAAATAAATAAATAAATAAATAAATAAAAGAGAATAATACTATTTTAATCTTCTTCACGAATATAAAATATATTTAAAAAAATTATAGATGTTAACTAGTTCTTGCATGTAAAGCCGGAATTGACCATGTTCACATGAAGTGACTAAACCTTTTATTAATAAAAAATTTATCATTCTTAATATTTAATAAAGGATAATATAGTAAAAATATTATTTTATTTTTTTAATATATGTGAAATGATAAAGTGAGTAATTTATTATATGGGAAAGAGGGAGCATGTATTTCTTGTTTTGTGCAACATAAAAGGAGTGTGTTTATTTTGAAGTCATCAAAATTCCAACAGTTTGTTAATAAGAAATCGCTCGATAGAGAAACAAAACTACGTGTCAAATTTCGGTAACATGAAAACTACGTAAGCACTTTGTTTATGCCTCATCTTTTTATACGTGGACCCCGTCAGTTTGAATCACAGCATTACTCAAGATACAGCGTAAGCATGGTTCCTAAAAACTTAGGCTTTAAACGGAAAGAAAAATATAAGATTTTGCAATAAAAAGTAACAATAATATTGCAATATGTGGCACAGTCAAACATCTTTCCGTTTAAATAGGAAAAAACTGAAAACTTATAGTCACTTTTGTGTGAAAAAGATAGATTTTAGTTAAATTATCGTTAGCCACTTGTCGTCATCACACTGTCATCCTAATGATTTTCTTCTAACAATTTCAACAACCAGTTTAGATCTTAAATCTCTTTATCTTGATGTGAGTACTCTTTTTATCTAATAAGTATGAATATATCTAAAAATAAGTGTATCTCAATCTTAATGTTTGACATTTGTATGATATTTGTACCATGGAAAAATCAGACAACCTTAAAAAAAAAAAGTGAAATATGTGTTTTAAAAAATATTTTTTTCTTTGCTTTAATACTCTTTAAATCAATATCCGACGCTCATATAATAAATGTCACACAATTCAGATGAAATTAATTAATTTTGATTAGAATATATTTTAACTTTTTTAATAATGGATGAAAAAATAAAACCAAATAGTATAATTATATGTAACGGATATCCTATGTTTTTCATAATGTCAATGCAAAGTATTTTTGTTGTGTTCTAGTGTCTGAATTCGTGTTTCATGGTTTTTTTGGTTAGAGAGCTATTGAGAGAAAGTACCAAGTAGCTATCGAGAGAAAGTCAACAAAAGTATTCAAGTTGAAAGGTAACAAATCTTTATCCGTTATATAGGAGAAGATTAGCTAACTTTACTATTTGGTGTCTTTATATCTTTGGTGTATTTAGAAGAAAAATGAGTGATTAAAATAAGTTATATTGATGAGTGTGAAGGAATGGTTAGAGAGCAATTAAGAGAAAGTCACTAAAAGTAGCCAAGTTCAAAGGTAGCAAATCCTTGTCCGTTACACAGAAGAGGATTAACTAATTTAACTATTTGGTGCCTTTGATACATTTGGTGTATTGATGAGTGAAAAAAAATGGTTAGAGAGCAATGGAAAGAAAGTCATCAAAGATAGTCAAAATCAAAGGTAACAAGTCACTAGAGGTAACCAAATTCAAAGGTAACAAATCTTTGTCCATACAACATCACCAAATACACAACCATGCTCTCATCTCGAAAATGGAGAACACTTAAATTTTCTACTAAAAAAAAAACTCAAATTATTTTCTGATATGTTCTTTGGTCCTTTTACTTAACAAGTTAATACTTTCAAGGGAAATTTTGAAATTCTAATAACTGTTTGATGTATTTTACCAAGTTCATCATCATCTTAAATAGTTGTGCTTGTCAGAGTTAACTATCATAGTGAATAAAAGCGAAGTATTCTACACCGAAAGATCTGTTACCCCTTGACAGCGATTGTGGGGAGTCAAGAGTGAAACAGAGGCGGTGATCGGAGTTGACAGGGTGGTTTCAGCCGGTGGACGAACAACCGCAGGCGTGGCACAATGTGGAGCCTGAGATTAATTCACGGTTCATAAGCAGTGAAATACAACCGTAGGCGTGGCACAATGTGGAGCCTGAGATAAATTGATCAAAAAGGCTGAACTTGTGATGTAGAAATAGCCCTAGACACAAATGTTGTCAAGAATCTATGGATGTCTGACATATTACCAGAGCATATCAGCGCATCAGAGAGCACTGAGTATGATAGAAAAGGAAGAAAATAAAATAAGCACTGGTGCATAATCCTCTCATGTTTTGTTTAGGGGTGTTCTTCATACATAGCCACATATTGGGGTTCTATAGACATCTATGCACGACTTTGTTTCACGTCGGCAGATCCCTTAACGAGTATCCAATATGAAGTTCCTGGTTGTAGCTCGTGTCATGGCAAAGAGCCAAAATCCCACCATACCAGAAGCTTTGTGTCGCTGTTATAGCGGATTATGGCAGAAAAATCCACAATATCAGCCAATATTTACCATTGAGGCAAGCCTAAAACCAACATGTATATCTGCTATATTGCTGCAATTGTGGATATTTGATAACACTGCCTGGAACATAAGATATGGCAATCTCACCGTAATCCCAAACAGACACCGAGTATATTAAAACAACTGACCTGTATCAGAAGTAGCCATCTAATTCAATAGCCTTTGTGAGCTCTGGATTATCATACATCTACTTTGATTCTAAACCATCAGAAAACAATGCATTATAACCTTAATCACCAACCACTAATATCATCCCTGTACAAGCTTTGAACTTACATTATATACAAAGGCAAAAGTTAAAAAATCTGAGCTACATGCTTACAAAGATGGTGCTAAGACTTGTAAATGCTTAGCCCAAGAGCAGGATCAACAAAGTACTTAATGGTTCAAGATTAAGCATACAATATAGAAATCCAATTCCTGAATCTTCATCACCGCGCAGAAAATTGCATGTACTCTAGCCAACGGGAGTTAGACAAAAGAAGGATGATATAATAGTTATTAAGTGATTCTCGATCGCATTTTCCGAACTTGGTAAGGTTGAAGCCTTCTGAAAATCATGGCAAGCCTGCATATAAAAACCAAAACAAAAAAATTAAATATTTATTACTAAGGAAAAATTTAATTTCAAACTCGGATCTTTAGAAATAAAAGTTATCTATTAAAGAAAATATCAAGAACCGAATTATTAACAAAACAAAACGAGAAAAGGGAAACAAAATGTATAACAAAGAATGCATCATAAAACACAGGGTATCTAAAGTTTTTAGAGGCTCTGTATTGATTAGCTATAGTTCAACCATGACAATACAAATAGGACTCTGTTTAGTTACGGTTTAATCATGGAAGATCTATTATGAGGCTTTTTTTACCTACAATTATAGTTTGAAAAATTACAGGCTCTGTTGTAACCCATCTTGCACAAGACGGCCCTGATACCACACTTTCAGTTATGCAAGAACAGAGCACCTCATAAATCTGTCCTTGACCCATAGAACAACAACATCAACCAAACTTTATCCCACTAAGTGGAGTCGGCTACATAGATCAATGTTCTATCATTGACCCATTCAGTATATTTATAATTTATAAAACAAAAAATCTGTAATCCAAATGATGATTTACAAACTGTGAGGAAGCAATGAGACATAAAGTGAAACGCGTGAGGAAGTGAGAAGACTAATCCTCTATTTTCTGAGTTAGGGAAGACTAATCCTCTATTTTCTGAGTTAGGGCAAACTAGGCGAAATTCCAGAAAAACTCCTCCAATGTTTATTTTTTTTAAGGGTAAATATTGCTTTTCACATTCAAGACAGATAGAAGATTGAAACCCGCTACGGGCCAGGAAGCCAGGAAGCTCTTCGCTTGTGCGACCCACTCCAAGCCAAAAAGCAGCCCTGGTCTCAAACCAAGACGTGAACTGCTACACCGTAGCGGCCAGCCACCGCTCCACACCACTCTCTTAGGATAACGCCGCTATTCTCCGGGATTAATAATTCTGGCACAAACTACATAAAAGGCTCATATACGAGACTTCTCAATGTTGCCAAATAACGGCAATAGCATTGCAGTATTTGAACAAAACAATGTTGTTCTGTGATACTCTAATTAGTACAATGTGTTGTTATATAGCAGTGCTATAGCATAGCAGAATTTGAACAAGCTATTTTTTTTGCGATTCCCGATAGACAACCATGACAAGAGAACAACCATGATTCTAATCTGTATGGAAAATTAGACACGAGTCAAACAACAACCTAACTATAATAAGTTTATCATAATCCAAAGTATCACAATACTTTTATACCTGTAAATCATCATAATAGTGATAATAATAAAGCATATATTAGAGACAGCACAAACTACCAAATAAGAAGACAGAGAAAAGAAAATGGCAAAAATAGAAAAGTTTATCGATAGAATTAGGATTTACTTCAGCTTTCCATGGGAAAAACTTGGCTTCAGCAACCTTTCAAAACTATAGTTACATACATATAGAGAGTTTTCCCGTCCACTCATCAGCAACTCCATAATCAATGCTTAGCTCTCTCATTGGAGGGATATTCTCCATTGCATATAGCATAACATGAGGAAACATCAAATTGTTGTGATCATACAGAACAAACTGAACAAATACATTTGGACTTGAACTATGGCTTACATAGCAAGCAACATTTCTCATTGTCGACACATCCAGAGAAAAATCTAGAGGAGGAATCGATGGATAGGATGGACGCGCATATTCAGTGTATATCTGAGATAAATCCCCCCATTCTGCCCATCTATCTGAAAACCGATTAGGATATATCAATGAATCACCATTCATTGTTAAAATTTGTGCTTGTTCCCGAGTCAAAACAACTCCTGTATACTCGCAGATAAAGGCTCCAGCCTGAATAAGGTCCAAAGACCGAACTCCCCAACCTGTCTGTGTAGACCTAAACACTTCTAACCTATATTTGAGCCCCTTTTGTGCCACACGATTACGACAATTGGGAGGACATGAGCAAAAAGGGCCACATTCAAAAATCAAAGGCTTCCCTCTCACAAGCAAACCCTGTAGATTATAAGGATGCTCTCCTCCATTCTTCACAGAGCAAAAACAACCATCAGTACAACCATCGACGCACTCACACCCAGTAGCTTTCCCGCTCTGATGAAACACAAACGGCGGGAAACTAGTATTAGGAAGATACTGATAATAAAGAGGTTCCTGACTGTCATCTATGTCATTAGAAAGCCTAATAGGAACCTTCTCCCTCTTGTCCGAAATATCAACGGAAAGACAATACATAGGCTTAAAGTCGAACCCACTTTTCCTAATTTCCCGAGCATCTTTGAGAACAGCACTACCCATCTTAGCCTGGCCCTCAATTCTCAAAAGCTTATACTTATAAACTCCAAAACCAGACTTTCCTACATCAAACCAACACTCAACAATCCTATACACTCCATCATAAACATAAATCTTGTTAGAAGCGGACGCACTCCCTTCATACTTCATCCCGCGAATAACCCTAACCTCGATCCCATAATGCATACTCCTTTCCAAAGCAAGGTTTCCACCCACCAATTTCTGATCACAAATTTGCCTTGATGAGTTCTTCTCCTGCCCTCCATGGCCAGTGTAGATTATAACATCACCATCATCCAACTCCATATCATCCTCATATCCACCCGAAACAATCACACTAGTAGCAATCGGTTCACCATTGGAACACCTACTTTTCGGTAGATAATCAATCCCAGCTTGTATCTGCATATGCAAACCAACCACACACAATTCCATCCTAAAAAGAAACACATCACCAACATAAACTCCAGGTATCGGTCCAACTATCCTCTTATCTCGATACAGCCACAACTGACTCTTCCTCATTAACGCTGCCGCCCTCATATCACCACGAATGCGGATACGCCTCTTTTTTCCACTTGGCGTTTCCATTTCCACCTCCACCCCTGCAGCCATCCCCGTAGCGTTCTTCTCCTCACCTATTCTCATCTCCTCCTCCATAACCGCAACTTCTTCAGCCAATCTCCTCTCCTCAGCCAATCTCTTTTCCTCAGCCACTCTCTTCTCTTCCTCCATAACAGCAACCTCCGCGGCAAATCTCTTTTCCTCTTCAATGCTGGCCAACACGCGAAGCGAATCATAGACCATCCTTGTCCTCCTCATCACCTCCCGACAATTTATATGTTCCTTCATACTCAGATCTGAAACCCTCACAAGCTCCATCACCTGGTTCGCCCTCTTTCTAGTCACCGCAACTGCCGAAGTGGACTCTTGTTCTTGTTTCTCCGGAACCACAACAATAGCCAGATCATTGTTAACATTGTTATCATTATTATCATTGTTATCATACGACTGTGGATGAGAATCCGTAGATTCAATACCTATATTAGGGTTCAGATTTAGGTCTGGGTTACAAACGTTGTTAACGGTAACGATATCCTCAACAACAGAAGGAGCAACATTAACATTGGCCGAATCAACGGTTGCAAAGAAAGGACCCAGAGATGTACCGAAAGTCGCATTGAAAAGCTGAGAAACGCGGTAGAATTCAGTGTAGAGATCAGATTGATCATCTTCTTCGCAAGGAGAGAAATTGGGTTGATGAGAATCCTGGGCAGCCATGAAATCATCGAAAGGTTCGGGTTTTGGGACGAGTAACGTTGGGAGTGATTTATCGGTGGTTGGGGGTGGAGTGAGGTTGAGATTTTGGGGAGAAATGTTGGGGATTTGGTGAGACATGGTGAGATTGGGAGATAGAGAAGGAACATGAACAGGAACATTAACGTTGTTAACGGGAGGAACATGAGATGAAGGAGAAGGTGTTTCAAACGTTAATAAATGATCCATTGAAGCTGACGAGAAGTGATGAAAGTGGAGTTGTTGTTTTTTGTTTCAATGGAGTTTAGAGAAAGAGTGGCACAGGAAATGAGGACATGAAAATATAATAGGAAAGAATAATCTGAGCGTGTTTATGAAAGCACACTTACTCTTTCTAATACATTAAATAGACATTGAATAAAGAAAAAGAATGAAAAAGGCTTAATACAAGGTATATGGATATATTAAAATTAAAATATTTAAACACTTTTTATGAGCTATTTATGGTAACAAAATTTATATTGTGAATTAACTAAACTTGACAATCCAAATATCATTATAAATATTTAATTATAATTATAATCTTATTAATTAAAGTTATTGAATCTCTTAAATTAAATTTTGGAGTCAAAGATTAATTTTATAATTATCAATATTTTTTATTTATTTATTAACTCACTAATTCCATTATCTCTTCTTATATCATTTTTAATTAATAAATTAATATTATTTATTTTAATTAAAATAATTATTCAAAAAATAATTCCATTATCTCGCTTATAAAAAAAAATCATTTTATTTATTATAACTTCCTAAAATATTTTAACTTCCATATAATTATTAAAAAATATAATAATAAATTAACTCTTCATTATTTTCTTCTAAAATTTATAATTTTATTTTTTCCATTCAATTTTAGTTATGTTTTCTTTTGTAGGTGTATGTTTTGAAGCATCACAAAATAATATCGAACATCGATTAGAAGAAATGTCTTTCTCTTTAATTAATGTATTTTTTTAAAATTTTAATGTTACTTTTTATATTTTTTGAAATGTTTTATTTTGTAGGTGTTATGTCCTTATTTTATAATTTCTCATTTTTATTTATTTATTTTATATGTGTATATTTTGTAGCATCACAAAATAATGTTGAATAAGTAAAATTATAGGAGAAGGTAAGTTAAAAGAAGTATCTTTATTTCTAAATATATGATATTAATTCTCTTTATACAATAACTCTCATTTTAATGTTCTTTTACTTTTATTAATTATTAATGTTTGTTAATAATTTTTTTATAGATACATATTTGAAGCACTATAAAATATATTTTTTCCTAAAAAGTTTGTTGAAGAAGTTCGATCGTGGAAAATAAAGAATCAAAAAGATGAATATTATAACATTATTTTTAATTTAACTTTATTATTCGATGTCATAATATATTATATTATTTAAATATATAAGATTAGTTGATTTGTTAAAATAAATTAATATATGGATATATATATATTAATATATATTAATATATATATTAATATGGATAAATATATATATTAATATATATATTAATATGGATAAATATATATTAATATATATATATATAAAATATCACATGAGAATAAATAAGTTATATGAGAATGTGAGAATGAATAAGAACCATTAGATTTTATTATTAATGGTTGAGATTAAAAGATATTTTTAAAAAGAGAATACTTAGATATAATTCTATAGATGTGGTTCATACTTTTCTCTAATAAAAATATGATAAATATACTTAAATATCTTTTAAGGAGTTAAAATATAAAGAAATTATATATATATATATATATATATATAAAAGAGGAAATTATACACTTGTTATATTTTTATTGAAAAAAAACATAAATCACATCTAAGAAAATGCACATAGATCTTATTTATTTTCACATTCTCGTATAATTTAACCATTCTCATATTCTCACACACACACACACACACATATATATATATATATATATATATATATATATATATATATATATATATATATATATATATATATATATATATATATATATATATATATATATATATATATATATATATATATATATATATATATATATATATATATATATATATATATATATATATATATATATATAACTTAAATCCAAATATACACTCATCTATAATATTGACATTCATTTCTGATTTTTCACCACTTAATATTTATTATTCTTAATAAGATTATATTAAGCATGATTAACTGTATAAAAATATTAGATATAAAGTATGAATCTAAACTTGTGACATTCTACTTATTCACTTTTAAATAATAAAATAATTATTTAAAAAGAAAGATTAAGTATGGTTAACAATAACTATTATAGATTTTTCAATGTTGATCTCACATTATATTTTTGTAATCTTGTAAAGAAAACTATATATAGTGTTTTTAGATTGTAATGTAGTATCAATATTTATTAATAACAAGAAAGTGACTATTTCATTCAAATATCTCTTGATCTCTCTTATGTTCTTTAATTCTTTAATTCTTTATTGTTGAAGTTCTATTTATCTTGATTTTAAAGTGGTTGATCAATTGTGCTTTGATCCAAGATTCATAACACATATGTTAGTATAACTTCTGTAAGTTAAGTAGTGTGGTTTGGTTAAATGCATATTAAAATATTTTCTAATGTTGATGTATACAAATTAAATCTTTATTTTAAAATCGTTGAACAATAATAAAATATTAGTGTCTTATTTTTCTTTTAATATGAATATCGGTGATATGTTTTATGATACATCTCATCGTTATAGAATTGTGGTTGTGGTTGTTGTTATTATAGGTGTTGTGATATGCATTAGAGTTATTTTTGTTAGAAATCCACCAAAATATATAGAGAATTTTTATTAATCTTGATGAATAAGATTGTTATCACTACACAATAACGATGAAAAAAAAGAAAATTAAAGAAGAAAATAGATTAGGGTTTATGCAGAGTTTCTTTCTGTTCATAAACGGTAGAAAATCTTTATTTACTTGCAACTGCAAATTCTGTGAATATTCTTTCTAAATTGGTTATAAAAATAGGGGGTTACTCCCTCTATTTATAATGAGCTTGCTTTCTCCCTAAACCAAAAGCCCAAAACTATAAAAGATCAAAATACATATTTTAGATCTAAATCAAAATCTGTGTGTAGCAACCTACTCACAACACTTCGACAACTAACAACTCGACATACTAATCTTTTCAACACACCTTGTGTCGAGCAACAACCATCTTCGACACAAGGAATTACACTTTCAACACACCATCTAATTTATTGTGCCTAAGTTATCTATATTCATCATAGCTCTTAGTCTTCTGAACACTTCGACCCGCACACCCTTTGTCACGATGTCTACAATATGATTCTCAGTTCTGCAGTGTTCCAAATTAATCTTCCCATCTGCTACCTGCTCTCGAAGATAGTAGAACCTTATTTCGATGTGTTTGCTTTGATCATGTGCTATCGTCAGGTTGATAGCTGACATGTTGTCGATCTTCATGGTAATTGCTCCATGATTATTTCCTATTATCTCTTCGACCAAATGCATCATTCATGTTGTTTGACATGCAAAAAGAGAATCAACTATGTACTTTGCTTCGCACGATGATAATGTTACTACTGGTTCCTTTCTTGAACTACAAGCAACTGGTGCCTCACCTAGCATTAACACATATTCTATCGTGGGTTTTCGATCCTTAGCATCACTACACCGACTTGAATCAATGTAGCTCACTAACTTGCATTTTTTCCTTTATCAACTGTAAGAAATAAAATTCTATAGTCAAAAGTTCCTTTCAGATACCTCAGTATCCTCTTCGTTGCTGATAGGTGTGATACCTTTGGCTTCTGTATAAATATACTCACCATACCTACATTGTATGCTAAGTGAGGACTTGTGTGACAAAGTGTCATACTCTAAATTTGTTCGTATTAGTGCTACCGTAAAAATTATTTTCGAACTTGAGTTTTACAGGGTAAAATTCCTTTGGTTTAATTGCATTAATATTTTGGAGTTTTTAATAAATATTTGTTTTCAAGTCTGTGTAAAAATATAATAATTATTTGTATTTTTAAAATAGCAAATAATTGCTCGTCTTCATATACTTTCAATTGGCTTTATATTTCAAACAAATAACATAGCATAATTTGTAAGTAAACAAAGCTTAAAAGCATAAGGTTACGAGTTCAAATCTCACTTGGTACATTTTTTATATTTCTTTGTTTATTGTTACTAATTTTATTTCTATTTATAAAAATCATTATTTAAATATTAAATTTCGTATTTTCAATTAATGAATTTAAAGATAAAAAAAAAATCACCTTTTATTCTAAAAATAACAACAAAAAAATCTAAAATACAAAAAGATTTAAAAATATTTTGTTATCTTTTGTATTTTAGGTAGTAATATTTGTTTTAGGAGAGAATCAATGTAATTGGTTACAATAATTATAAATCCAAAAATTTGTTTTCTTTTTGGGTTTTAATTATTTGAATTGATGATTTATTTTATTCTATTTTTGTTAATTTTATTTTCAAGTTACATTCAAATCTTTCCAAAAATCATGTTTTTTATTATTTAAATATTATTTTCGTTTTTCTATTTTAGGAAATTTTTAATAATAATATTTAATTTATTTTATGCATTTTCATCAAAAAGTGTCTAAAAATTCACTAAAAAAACCATATCTTTTTCGGCGACAATATTATGAATCAATTACCAAATCAAATCCAAATACTATAGAAAACTAAATCTCAATCTTCACTAAAACAAAATCAAATATATTACAGAAAACAATTAACAGAACAAATCCAATACAACAAATATATCAATTAGAATCGATTACAATAATTGAAATCCCTAATTCATTCTCTAATCCCTAAAACTAAGACTAGTTTGTAACAACCCTAAGATACTAAGCTTATAAATACAAGAATCAAATACATAGAAAGGGGGGGGGGGGGGGGGGAGTTTGAAGAACAGAACCGCGGATTTGAACAAAATTGAGAAAGAGACGAAAGCTTGAAGACAGAGGGGGAAGATCCAGTGCCATTGTTAAAGAAGAGAAGGACGATTGGAGTTTCATTATCTGAAACCACAATCGTCGTTGCTAGCCGCTTCCGCCGTACACCATCATCTTCAACCTCTCATCACCGGGAACCACCGCTCGCAAGACCTACGAAATCAAAGAAGGAAAAGAGATTAGTATCGGAT